TACATACATACATACATACATACATACATACATTTTATTTGTTCTCAAATTAAAATTACAATTGTAACATGCCCGCGGATAGCTGAGCTAATCTAGGCAGGTCATGTTAGGACGAGTTATTAATATACAACTAGGTACTACTAAATACAACTGAGGGTAACAAGAGTTTATCTCCTGATAATAAAATAAATTAAGACATAAATTATTTATAACTGTTTAAAATATTAACTATATGTATATGATACATCATACAATAAATGAACTTAGTGTTCACTAGAAAGATTTGCAAGATGATGTCTCAGTCTTTTCTTAAAAGTATTCAACTTTTCTGCCTCAGCAATTTCCCTTGGCAGATTATTCCACTTATCAGTTATGCGTATAAAAAAGAATGTTTAAAAGTATTTAAAGTTGCTGATGCAAACTTAAGTTTAAAATGGTGATTAGCTCTTAAGGACCGAAAATCATGTGCAAAGGTGAAAAATGCTCAGGGATCAAGTCCATTAAGTCTATTTATTGTCTTATAACACTCGATAAGCGACGAAATTAATCTTCTTTGTTCAAGTGTTGGCCATTTAAGGAGCTTTAGGCGTTCCTTGCAGGGTATGTCTTGCCCAATATTTCCAAGGGCACATTTGGATGCGGTGTGGTGGCCTCATGGTTAGTGCGCTCGTCTCCGGATCGAGCGGTCCGGGTTCGAGCCCTGGCCGGGGGACATTGTGTTGTGTTCTTGCGCAAGACACTTTACTCTCACAGTGCCTCTCTCCACCCAGGTGTGTAAATGGGTACCGGCGAACTTAATGCTGGGGGTAACCCTGCGATGGACTAGCATCTCTTCCAGGGGGGAGTTGAAATACTCCTAGTCGCTTCATGCTACAGAAACCAGGATAAGCTCTGGCCTGATGGGCCACTTGGCTCGTATGCAGACTTTTTTATTTGGATGCTCTACGTTGTACTTTCTCCAAGGTGTTTGAGTCTTTTTTAAGGTGCGGACACCAAACTGGAGAGCAGTACTCGAGTGTCGGACATACTAGGCTCTTATAAAGTTAAGCAATGAATCATTTCAGAAAGAGATCTTGATGCTGGTGGTAGGGTGTATTCATTTCCAACCTTGTTTCCAGGGTCTCTTGTCTTCCCTCCCTCCAGGAGTGAGAGAGGGTGGGAAGATAAGAGACGCTGGGAATGAGGTTGATTCACTTCAAGCTTATTTTGGTGGGGAGGGGGAGGGGAGGAGGACTTGTTTGAGAAGATGGCTTAATATTTAATTTGGCAGCAGGTTATCAGTTTACGGATCATTTGCTTGTGTGCCAGGCTTTCATATCATGACATGCTATTGTAATAACAAATATTAATTAAATTATTTGTGATCAATCAGTTAGTATCTACAATATTTTCCCAAAAGCTCTCAACTACAGTAGTGTGAATTTGTGCCAGAATTGGTACAGTAAAAACACACCATTGTGTCATGTATGCTTTGGTTGTGATGGAAAAGGAGTAGAAAAAGGAGATTGGAAGTAGACAATGATTGCTTAGTCTGTTGACTGTGAGTGTAATTAGACCATGAGGAGAAAATGGCCATGCAATTACTCTGGGGTGAGAGAGGTAGGGTGGAAGAGGTGGTGAAGATATTTCTCTCTCCAAAATTGTGTGCACACTAGTTCTTAACTGGAGTCCTTTTAACTGATGTTTATTTAATTCAATCACAATTTCAGAACAAAAATGGAGAAATTATTCCTTGGGTTTTATGACAGCTACTGGTCAGTTATCAATGAGAATATCAAGTCAACTGGAAAGTCCATGATGGTAATAATTAATTATGTTCATTTGCATAATGCTGCTAACTTTTTGTTTAATGCTATCAACCAGTAATGCACCAGCTGGGATATCCTGTTCAGCAAAGTCCAAGATGTATAATTCCTTGTCTGACATGTTGGTGTTCAGAGCACCAGTTTTATTTTGTTGTGTCAATTTTTTTCTCGGTAGGATCCTTATGGAGAAAATGTAGGAATATTTGATTATGTGTCTCTTAAACAAAGACTAGAAGCCATCAAGAAAAGACTTGATGCCAAAAAAGCATTGGGAAATGAACTGGAAGACTCGTCAAGTGAAGAGGAGGAAGAAGAAGTAAAAACAAGAGAAAGTCCCCCAGAAATAGATGATTGGGAAGCATTTTTGTATGGCGACGACTGACTTAAATTTGTATCTTATTTGCTTTCTCTGTTTCACATTTTAAGATGCTTAGTTTATAATGCAAATAAGAAAAATAAGTAGACTATTAAACAGAACAGGACAAAATTTGATGAGGTATTTATTTACTGTTTTGCAATATTTCAAAAATAAATGCAAGTAGTAGAGCCATGTTGGACAGTCAAATAAGTAATTGTACAATAGTCACACTTGATGTTTGAGTTTCAAAAGTATAATTTGTACACAACGTTTTAAGATAACTCATAAGGATTAAGTATCAGTTTTTTTTTTACATATTACACTGGTTTAGGTTTAGGTTCCTTTCTCTGGAAGTAATCCAATATTGGAGGTCTGCAAGACAGTTTTGTCCAGGCTTTTAATAAGATGAAATTTTCAGAGAATTTCACACAAATAATTCAGACTTGTCTGAGAAAGGCCATGAAGGTATAAAGGAGTATTAAAATATAATTTGAGGGTGTACTTCATCTTCAAAAAGAATAAAAAGCTCCATTTCAAATGATAAAATTAATAGTAAATATACACCCATCGTCATCACCTACAAGAAAATTGAATGTGGTCTCACAAGCAGTTCTCTATTGTAAAGTTGTATCTCAAAAGTTTGTCATGCAAAAGGTAAATAAAAACTCATGAAGTCTGATTAATTGTATATAATAACCCTAAGAGAACTTTATGTGGGTAAGTTTATTAGTTCAATAACTCTTTTATTATATGGCTGTCTCTCACAAGGACTGGGAGCTATCGCACAAATACCAGCTTATCGGCTGAAAAGGAAAGAGGACAAGCAAACTTTGGTAGATTTAAGTTCAGCTCATCGCCATATGCAAACAAAGTGTTAGCTAGTACAAACCAGTTACGTTGAATGAGTTAAATTTTCTTGTTTGCCACACAATAAACATCTTATTAACCGAGCTCAATCGGTCTGTATGGGAGTGTTACCGCCAAATATTTTATGGTTTTTAATTTCCTTTCTAGCCTTTAAAGTTTCTTTGTATTAATCATAGGACGTCCTTTTTTGTGGTTATTTTTGCAGATGTGTTTGCCCACGTACGGTTAACGAAACAAAGAAATCTATTATGCTTTGTATTAGGCAATATTTCTTCTAACGTGTTCAAAAAATCAGTTCTAGTCAACATGTCATCGTGTTAAGATCAAACTCTTAGGCTCAACTCAACGCATGTGAAATCCTTCACGTGGACACAGAAGTAAGTTTTTTCATTATTGAATGTCTTTTATTGTCTTTGTTTGTTTCCTAAGTTTGTAGTAGTTTTCTAGCTAGCCTAATTGTAGTTTCTACTTCGTTATTTGTTTCTTAGTTTTCGAAACCATTTCACCGTTTTCACCGTTTCTCAATCGTTTCTCAACAACGCTTCTTTACAATGCTTCTATACATCGCTTCGATATTTGATTCGTTACGCTTCGCATCATCTGTGTACATCGCTTCGCTTCAATAAATGCTGTTTACAATAAACTGTGTCACGAACATTATTCTGGGGAATGTTTGAAACGTGTTTAGAATATCTGTGACAACGAGAGGATACGTGATTCACAAAACCGTCCTGTGAGTAACGTTAAGTTCTGCGCTCTCAGGGAGCATCTTGACCTCGGTCGTGTGTACAGACCTTGCTGCATTTCGTCTGTACTCACGACCTCGTGCTTGTTTAATAAGAGCTAAATAATAAATAGGATAAAAATTGTATGCAGAGCTAGCTCGAGTCAAACAACCATGTAAATGCCCTGATTTTGCAGTGGTAGTTTAGTTGCTAGAGGTTATGCCATGTGTTAACTTTGATGCTATTACTTAATCCGATAATTTACAAGCAAATCTTGGTTTATTTGTTCTCTAAAAGTGTACTTTTTGGCTATGCAAGAGTAGAAATGAAAGATTTTTCATAGCCTACAGTTGTAACGAAGTGCTCTGGGTACCAGAGGACCTTTGAAGCCCATAAGTGTTTTGTGAACGACCTCCAAGCCCAGGCTTTATGTCTTTATAAAGCAGCATGACCAGAAATGTCTTTCTTGTTCCTTGGAACCAGGGCAGGAAAAAAATTCTAAAATCCAGTTGCCTAGTGGGCCAGTACATTTCAGTTTTCAGTAGCCCCCACTAATGGAGACAACTGTATAAAAGCAGCATACTGATAGCCCCCCCCCCCATCTACAGCTTACTGACCCCCCCACCCCTGTCTAATCCCTGCATAGGCACTATGACCAAAATACACTTAGATTTAACTTGGCCTATCACAATCTGGAAAATGGTGATGAAATAAGTTATGACATATGACTGAACAAATGCAAAACCTTATACCACCACCAAATCTAGCATGGATTTCATTTTCATTTTCAAAACAATAGAGTTATAACACAAGCTTTTACAGACACTGAACGTCAAACACTCAACTTGCTCAAATAACAATGTGCATTACTGAAGACTGGTAACATTCAAACTACTGATTCAACACTAAGCATCACCAAAGTTACTAAATGACTTCTTGAAATGGCAATGCCTTTCTTGCAAACTTTTGATCGTTTACACAACTTATAAAAACCAAGATAGGGAACAAAACCCATGCCATTCTCAAATTACTACTGCAATTGAATTGCAAATTTCCATTTGTCCTTACAGTAGATAATTGTGTGGCTACTGGACCAATTCATAGTCTGTTGTCTTCACCTTACTTGATGTTGTCCGTTTTACTTTGGTCAGTGTCAGGTTAATGCATCGGATGGATCATGTGATAGGCACACCTGCCTCTGCAGTGCCATTCACCACAATGCCTTCCTCATTCTTTAGGTGTGGCAGTTCTTGTGCAAGTTGTTGCACCACACTCTCAAGATATTCTGGAAGTGTTTTAAAAGGATTACTGCTTGGCTGGAAAAAGTGATGGCTTCTCCGAGCAAGAAGACGTAGTGCTCGCCAACCAAAGTTACCATTTTTGATGACTTTGTATTCATCCTCTACCATGGCATCAGGGTCAGCTTGTTCTATGGCCTCAGAGAAATATTCTTCAAGAGTTGGGAGGAAAACTCTGTTGTCAGCTTTGCAAGCTTCCAAGTTGTCAGGATACAGATTCCACAAACGCGTCAACTCACTGCTTCCCAGGAGTACTTTTTTGGACTTCCACCCGGAGGCCACCTCATCTCCAATGCTGACCTTACGCTTCCTTGAAGGTTGTGGCTTTGACTCCTCTTCACTCCTTTCTTTGATGAAACTTGGACAGCCTTCATTCTTCCATGATATCCAATTCTCCTCTCTTTCCAAGATATGTTCCACAGCATTTGCAAATTTGTCTCCATCTGGTGGTGTTTCTCTCAGCAATTCATACACTTGAGTAGTTGTATCTTTCACCCAGTTGCTTTGAGACTCATTCAGGACTTGGTTTGTGCTTTTAAATTTGACATTACCAACAAGGTACTGGCATATTATCAACATCTGCACAAGAATCGTTCTCCTAAAATTACTGTCACTTAGTTGCAGATCAAGGAGTTTCTCATTGGTCAGAAACTTGGCAAAGTAACGGGCCACGTCTTTGCTATCACTTCCTTGTAGATCCTTCAACTCCTTTGCTTTCTTTTTCCACGTCACATGCTCCAACTTGAGACTTCTAAACACATTCAAAACTTCCTTTGTATTTGCTGCAAATGTTTTCCACGCCACAGTGTTGTTATAACACTGGGTTGGATTTCGAAAATAATCTTGAAGAGCCCAAAATTTCCTGTAAAGATTGAAGTCGACCAGAACAGTACTTGATGCCAATTCTCCAGCTTCTCGATCATCAACTTCCATTTCACTTCCAGTGATTTTCTCCTTTTGGTCTGCTGTCGTAAAAGTGGTGATGTTTTCATAATTAAACTGACTCATCAAGTTAAGTCCTGACTTTTCAGAGAGAGGAAAGAGCCTTGCCAGAAATAACTGAATCCTTCCACAAAATACAGTGTTCTGCGATGTTGATAAACGACGCAGCAAATCATTGGACATCCTAAGGAGAAGATTCTTGCCAGCAGAAAAAAATAAAGGCATCGTCCAAGTGGAAACCTTTTCTTCTACAAATGAGAACAGAGGATCACACTGCTCCAAAGTGATACAATCAAACACATCGCTTAGCAAAATGAAAACCAGATTGGGAGAACAGTGTCCTTGAATAGCTGCCTTAATAACCAAACTAATCAAGAGTTTATATCTTTCCAAACTGCCTCCTTTGACAACAGCCTCTTTGACGAGATCTCGGAAAACTTGATCGACCACCAGTTTTTTCTCTTGCTCGCTTCCTGGTGCTCTTTGGAAAACATCAGCTAATTCGATCTCGTCATTTTCATCCTTGGCTTTGCTCACACACGACTTGAATTCTTCCCTAGCCGTTTCAAAATTTAACCTCTCCTCTACCGCCAT